ACCCAGAACAGTCAAGTATGTACTAACATTATTTTGTCATATGTTCTAATTGCTTATTGTGGTTTTTCTTATTGCTCCAACAAAACCGTAAGTGCTTTGAAGAAAAAATAGTTCATAAATTTATTTTATTTGTTCTACAACACCTAGCAAAGTGTTAGGAAAAAGCAAAATATAAGTGCTCAAAAATAGTTTCTGAATTAAATTCTTTTACCAATGCCTTTTCTAGTTTATCTGATGTGCAATAAATTCATTTTATGAAATTTCAGAAGTTCGAACAGCCTGAGGAAAGAACATTTTTTGCCTCTGTCAGTTAATTTACTAACTGAAAGTCAGTAGTACTGTATTAGAAATAAACTAGCTGGGTAAAATTTGTGAACGTGAAGAAAACGTGAACCATGGAATAAATTACACATTTGGTTTATAAGAAGCTTGTGAATCAGGTTCTTGTACTTGGTAAGCAGTAAGAAAGCAGAATATTGTCCAGAGAGGGAATATATTTAGGGTAAAGTGCAAGTTTAAAAATGAAATGAAAATTATTGAATGGTTCTTTTTGTAGGGAAGTGTATGAGATATATATATATATATATATATACATACACACACATATATATACACATACATATATATATGTCAGTTGAGTAAATGAAGAGGATTATACACATATGTGCAACACACACACACAGAGTGTGAATAAGATAACAAAGGTGGCAGCTAGGAAAACCACACTCTCATATTGCTAATGATTAGGCATTTTCTAATTTAGTGCCTCTTATTTCTTTTCCTTTTTTGTCTGCTTCCCTGCCACACTTCTTTTGCACACTGTTTCTCTAAACCAAAAAAAAAAAAACAATCAAACTCACTGCCATTGAGTCGTTTCCGACTTACAGCGACCCCTTCTTTGGTGTCCAAGTCAGTATCGCTATAGTAGATTGCCCAATCTTCCTTCTGAGGAGTGGCTGGTGGGTTTGAACTGCCAGCCTTCTGGTTAGCAGTCAAATGCCTTAGGCACTATGCCACCAGAGGTCCTGTATTTCATTTATTCTATCTAATTTTCTTCCCCCATTCCCATCTCTCTAAAACTCCACATACTTTCACACATACACACACACATACACATACACACACACTCAATTGTTTCCCATGCTTTGTGGACAAAGCCTGAAATCAACTGTCTCAAGAGGGCCTCTCATAGTGCTTCCATTAATTCACTACACTCACGAGTAGTTTTCAAACTTTGTTACAAAATTTTGAAAAAAAAAAAGTATATGGATTCTGCCCCGGTTATCAATTTGTCACCTGTCACCTTTCACCTCCAAATCTACCTTCTTTTTCTGCTCTGCTAAAATGGAGCTAAGCTCTTTACTTCCCCCCGCTCCCTTAGGTAGCATGATGTTAAATTTTGTCAGTAAAGAACCAAGGACAGAGACTGTAGGAAAAAAAAAAAACATTTTCCCTTCCTTGTTCCAGTACCCTCACTCAACAGGCGACTGTAGCACATGACTCTTCCTTAGTTTCAAGTTCCTGCAGTGTAGGCAGCTTCTCCAGTGCGAGAGTCCTGCAGTATACACAGCTTCTCCAAGACCTGGCTCTGCAGCACAGCTTCCCCAGTATTCAGCCTAGTACACTGCTCCTCCAGTCTCCAGCTCCTGCAGTGCAAACAGCTTCTTCATTGCCCAGCCCCTGCAGCATGGGCAGTTCCTCCATTGCCCAGCTCCTGAAGTTCAAGAAACTTCTCCACTGCCAGGCTCCTGTAATGCACAGAGATCAGGAGTACCTGGTGTCCAGTAGCTTCCACCAGCACTCCCCTTGGATGGCTTTGTAGTAGAGTGTCTAGGGAGACACCCATCTGTGAACAGTTTTCCCTAGCACTTCAGAGAGCAGATTTACAGTAAATTCTAGAAGGCATATTTCCAGAAAGTTTCAGGGGTCAGATTTCTGGCATGTTCCACCATTTTGGCACCATAGTGACTTCTCTGTCATTTAGTGAGCAATAGCTGTACCCTCTCCAACAAGGTCTGTTTCTCAGCCCTGGGGGGAGAGTGAGGAGGGAGGCTTCCTTGGGCTCTCTATCTCAGCCCTCTCACAGCCATCGAGTTGAAGCTGACTCATAGCTACCCCTCCTTGGGTTTCTGAGGCAGTATCACTATGGAAGTAGATTGCCCCATCTTCCTTCTGAGGAGTGGCTGGTGGGTTTGAACCACCAGCCTTCTGGTTAGCAGTCAAATGCCTTAGGCACTACACCACCAGAGCTCCTAGAGGTAGTGAATGCTCTTTATATCTGCTATTCCTGTGTTGTTTAGAATTTCTCTTTTTTTCTTACTAGTCAATACCTCATGGGAGCTCTGGTAGCGGAGTGCCTAAGGCACTTGATACCACCTCAGAAACCCAAGGAAGGGTCGCTATGAGTCAGGTCCAACTCGACAGCACATAACAACAACAACAGACCTCATTACCAAAATCCTGCTATGGTTAGTAATTCTTTGTATTAAATTCTCTGTTCAAATTATTGTATGATTTCTGTATCCTGATTGGGTGCTGACTGATACACACTCCGTCACATACTTTTAATTAACAGCTCAAAGTCCTTATAAAAATTTTAAATTGCTGCAAAGATTAATTATTCTGATGTTCTGCATATTATATAAATGCTTAAAATACATTTTTGTCAAATGAAGAAGTCCACCATAAAACTTAATTTGCAAAGCCGGTTCTAACTGTCAAAAAAATCAACCAATTCAAAAAAAAAGAAAAAGGACTTTTTAATTCAAATAAACATGTTATCATGTTAGTACATGTTCTCATGGCATCCTTCTCACCTAAGTAGGTATAAAAGACAGACAGACAGCAGATACAGAGAGAGAGAAACAGACAAGATCCCTGCTAAGATGCTTGCTAAGATGAAATACTATTTTAATACGCTTTTTTGCCAGTGCTTTTTTGCCTTACTTTCATGGGTCTCCTTCAGAAGCAAAGCCTCCCCAAACTGTCGTTTCGTTTGATGTCCTGAAGATTTTACCCCAAGGCTATAAATCATAGTAAGATTTGCAATGGGTGAAAGGTATGACATCTTTTGTAAAGTAGAAGAGCAATTATGAAAGAGGAGTTGGGAAAGAAGCAGCAGCAGACCACAGTCTTTTTTCCAGACATCTCAATTTCAAGAAAATGTACTTATAGATGTTAGGGATCAGAAAGTGGATTCCCTCAAAACTGTCCATGCCTTGTGCCCCTAGAAAGTCTTTGTGACTCGCATGGTGCAAGTTCTCCGGTGAAGACAGCCAGAGTAGGGATTTTTTTGCTCTCCCAAAATAGACAAGAAACCAAGTAAAGAAAAGGAGACAATTACAAGAAAAACAGAATAAAAAATACTAAATCATATTATTTAAAAACCAGGGGGCACAAAAAAAAAAGTTTTCCTTGCAAGAATACTGAAAGAAATAGAGGCAGTATCACATCAAATGTGAACTCTGACTCCCACCAGTACCTATGTTTGGATGAGGGTCTTGCTTTTAGGATTCATGACTCAAAATCTCACATGGGTTAAATCCTTACAGTGTTCTGTTTCTTATTTAAAACAGTAAGTTTTCCTTAGATCCACTACTTGAATGTATCACATGATAGGGAAAGAGATGGAGAATCTTAAACAAAAAGCAAAGGGATGTGGCCAATTTTTACCATTTGGGATATTAACAAGTTTAACATGGCTCAGCAACTATCTTAAGTGCTATATCAACTATTATGACACAAGCTATAGGTGTTGAAATATAAGGATGTGTGTTTTCTAAGAGGAAATGGGTGACAATTTGAAGGGTTGGTTTTAACATTAAGAATAAATGTATAAGAATTCAGAACAGATTCTCAACCAACACTAATGTGCAATAAGGTTTGTGCAATTTAAGAAAGGTTTTTAAGCTTTAAAATTCTTTTCAAAGAAACTACTGTTTCCTGTTATTTCTGGAAAATCTATAAAAGCTAGTGTTTTAAAAGGGAAACATTTATGGAGAGATATTAAATGTGTTTTATAAGCGACAAGTATCAAATTCTTGTTTATTCATTTCCCCTAAGAAACTTTGTAATTCTGTTTTATATAAATAACATTTACTCTCAATTAAGGTTTCTGTCTTTTTATTTCCCAAAATCCCCATGAAAGTATGAGACATCTAGGATTTTCCCACCTAAGATAAACTTTTGGTAGAGATTTTCCTTTCTTGAATATGATCCATAATCTCAAGAATACATTGTCTGAATCAAGTATTTCCGTCAAAAAGTCTGTATGCTGCCCATTTTGTAGTAAACTACTGTTGTTGTTTTTGTCGTTTGCCGTCAAGTCGGACCCAACTCATAGTGACCCCTCCTTGGGTTTCCAATCTACGAAAGTAGATTGCCCAAACTTCCTTCCAAGGAGTGGCTTGTGGGTTTGAACCGCTAGCCTTCTGGTTAGCATTCAAGTGCCTTAGGTACTATGCTACCAGAGCTCCTTTAGGATCTCTAAAATAAATATTATTGATGACTGCAAAAACTGTTAACTTCAAATTAAATAATTTTATTGCATATGTCTAAGTATCTGTTATAATCCCCATGGTACTTTCTCTAAAGATAATGCCCTTCATTGCAGAAGTAAAAATAATCCATTTGGTAGATATATTCAATCTGAAGGCTTTGATAAACTTTCATTATAGCCCAGTAAATAATTTTAGGGCCTTCACTTGTAGATAAACAAACTATGTCAACAATTTCTATGCTCACCAAAATCTCTTTCACAGCTCTGCTAAGCACCATGATTATGGAAATGAACAAGCTAATGTAGGGTACAACATAGTGCAAAATCGTTCAGTCTATCAAACTGGTCATTTACCATGAAAGTCAATAATTACTCAGATCTTGTGAAAGAAAAGCAGAAATTAAAAGTTTTAGTAATGAAAGGTTTCTAATTTGAACAAGCAATAACTAGTTTGTTGCCATCTTGTAATAGATCCATACCCACAGGTTTCTAAAACACTTACTTGAACAATGGTGTTCCACAAACAACGCATTTATATATTCCAGGATCTTTGTGATGTGTGTATTCTCCTTCAAAGGCACTGATAAACAATAAGCAGGGCATTACATTATTAAACAATATTCATATAATCTCTTATAGAATGTATTTGCTTAAACTATATTTCTCTGATAAATCTTTCAAAGGCTTTTTGTCCTAAAATGAGAACAGACCAAACACATGGAAATCAGAACATAATATATTTCAAATCTATATAATAAAATGTGCATATAACTACTCCAAACTAGTGAAGATTAAATTTAAAAAAAAAATCAAGCCATCTAGTTATGTAATGCTTAGGGGGGAAAAAAAAGTTTCCTATTTAAAATATGCCTGTAGTTTACATTTGCTGAAAGAGCATTATTACATAAGATTTCTGATACTCTATAGTATCCAAGAGTTGTATACCAGAAAATGCAGAGGGGTCCAAGACTTCAAGTGGAAGAAGTCTTATTTTTTGGTTTGAAAGGAATATTGCAGCTTTAAGGGAATATTTTTCTAAGTTAACAATCTTAAAGGCTAGGAGGTCATTCAGCTAATACAAATCAGCTGTGCTAGCCCAACAAAAAGTCTATGTGCTCTGCAGCTTGTTTTTATTATCCTTTCACCCTCTTTATGAGGTCCAATTTTTTTATAAACAGAATTTTTAAGAATGACCTCATCTCTGTTGTTTGTGTGCATTAAATCATTTTGCCGGTCATGTACACAACAGGACTGGTAGAGGTCCTCCTGAGCTGAGACTGAAGTCCACCACAGCTCATTGTGTGGTGAAGGCAGACTCTGTCAGAGATTCAACATTTGGTTAATTCAGTAAACAGTATATACTATGACAGGAAGAGAGTGTTGCCTATTAACAAGGACCCCATGTGTGGTAAAGAGCGCTTTCAGTTCATGAATGAAAACAAGAAGTTACATCATTAATAAATTTGGATCAGAGGTTAAGTTACGGCCTTGTGCCAAGCTCCATGGTATAAATTAGACAACAAAATGGTTGGACCTTGGCAAGCTACCTTTGAGCTGGAATCAGCTGAGAGAGACTTTATTCACTAAAAACAGTCTTGGAAATGAACAAACTCTTTTTTCAGAATTTAGGGCGAACTTCCAAGGACTAAAGCCATGTGAGGGCAGTTATTGAAAATTTTTGACATTCCAACCACAAATGAGCCAATAAATACTTTCTCCACATGTGCTTCAAAAAGAAATTGGAGTGGGATAGAAAGAAACTAAATTATGCTACCTTCTTTTGCAGCCAAAACATCTATCCTTACAATGGCCACCTTCAAAATTTCAGCTTCCTGGCACAGTGCCATGTCCCTCATGGTTTTGCTTACTGTGATGTCTTCCCAAAAAATGCACCTAAATCTCTATTACTTCCACACATTTTGTAGTAAACTAAAAACAGGCCCTTAACAAAAGCCCTGTGACTTTACACAGATAGTGTGTTCATTAAACGGGGAGGAGGATAAATAACATTTAGACTTGACCTAAACAATGCCATTTTCAGTATTTTCAAGGATATTAATTTGTAGACTTTAGCAAATAAGTGTAGAAGTCTTTAATTGGCAAGGTGGAGGATCCAAAGAGGGAGGGGGGATGAAGACAACTAGCTCTTGTTCAATGGCTTTTTCTTACAGCTCACCTTACCTTTCAGTCCCTTTCTCCTGAGTGACATGGTACTGCAGGGGTGTTAGCCGCTTCCTCAGTTCCTGCTGGGAAAAGACCACCTTACAATTCTTTTTATCCCTACATGACCCTGAAAAGAGAGAGGATATGGGAGAAGAAGGCTTTTTAGCTTGAATCCTGAATAATTGCCTTGGCTCACCGCCACAGCACAGCTTCTGCATTCACTTGTCCATGACCAGTCCAGTCCCTGATGCACTGGTAAAGCTTACCTGAACTGCAGCTATTTCTCTAAGTTTAAAAGGAATGTTTCTTATGACCCAGGTGATTCCACAGGAGCTGTGACAATATGCTACAGCCAAAGTTTCTAGACTGTGATACCAAAAACTCACTGAACATTCACAGTGTGGTAGTACATCCTTTACAGTCTCAACATCCTGAAATTCTTTTTTTTAAATGAATTCAATAAGCATCACTCCACCCACAAGCATTATTTATATATACACACATACATAAGATGATGAGCATATGATGTTAAACCCTAACTCTCCAGTCAATAATTTTGCAAGTTGATAGAACAGCTTGAAAGTGTCATCATTCAATTTCCATTCTGGGTGATTTAACAATCATCCTATTTCTTTTCCTTTGCGCCCTAAAAATGTATTTTCCCATGACTGGGAATTGCTGTTCTCTGTGATTCTGTCAGACACTTCACTAGGTTATACAGAGTTCTTAAAAACAAATGTCTCTTTAAAGACTATATCTTACCATGTAAACCACGCAGCATAGTTGGGAGAACTAAGCTACCCATCTGTATGTCATTTAGTACAAGAGAAGCAACTGCAGGTTTAAATTACATGGTATTGGATTGCAATTTCCTAACATTGGATGCTTTTCTGCTTTTTTACCTTGAGTCATTTAGACTATATGAGAAGACATTTCCAATAATGTAGATTCAAGAAATTCCCGCCCCCCCCCCCAAAAAAAAAGGTGAGAAAAAAATAAGGAAATGGGGGACTAAAAGAGAAAAAGTAGACATGATTTTATTTAGGTTTTTTTTTTTTTTGCAAAACATATCTAGGAAGTTCAGTGATTAAGTATATTTGAATGGTAAAATAATTTTAATGTGATTCTAGTAATAATGGCAGCTTTTATTTCAACCTATGCAGACTGCAGTAAAATGTTCAGACAACACCTGTTTATATATAGTATTTTATTTTACCTGCACAAATGACTGAAAAGAAATATAACTCTGGGGCAGTGCAACCATTACTCACTGCAGTAAAACTGCTTTTCTTTGCCATCCATCACACTGGGAAAGAGGCTTGCAGATGGTCCTAAATGAAAACATTTCTTACTATGTTTTGAAGTAATAACTAAAGAAAGCTTGCTTAGTTTCCTCAATATTAAACTTCTTTTGAAATATAATTAAGTATGATTTATGAGTGGAAATGCTTTCTACTTCTATACTTTCAAAGCACCTTATGTCATAGTATTTGAGATAACTGAAATTAAACTAGGAAAAAAAATTAACTACCCAGTTATCCTGATTGTGAAATTAAAGTAAGATATCAGCTTCCAGAACCAGAGCCACCAAGATAGAGCGGTTGACTTTCTATGAGAAAATATGGAGGCAGGAAAAGAGCATACCAGGGTCTAGCAGACATGCACACCTCAGAGTAGGCCTGCGGGTTGTCAAACAGCGCCTCTACTGACCTTCCACTGAGCACCGCAGCCCAGATCTGGCCTGGTCATTCATGCTGTGCAGGTCTCTCATCTCAACAGAATTTCATATCACACTAGGCTTTATCCAAATGCCTACTACTTATATTTTTAATATTGTCAAAAGGGTAAATGGAAATATTCCCTGTCAGAACAAGCCTTTCAACAGCTTAAGCACAACACTGCTGTTCCTTATATAATAAGTTGCCTGAGATAAGTGAGCTTTTACTCAATTCACTATAGACTTGTTAGAAGTTATCTTTTTGTTTTTATTTTATTTGTGAGAGTTTTATCTGTTGATTTTGTCAAAGAAATTCATTACTTCCAAATTTAATGTGACAAAAATGTCAGTTGAAATCACTCTTTCCAATGGCATAGGTAATTAAAACCTGTACAATTAAACAATTCTGTCCAAGATACTCTTGTTAATGTATATTCATTCATACAAAAAGACCAATTGTGTTCCCAAAGTTGGGAGAACTAAGCTACCCATCTGTATGTCATTTAGTACAAGAGAAGCAACTGCAGGTTTAAATTACATGGTATTGGATTGCAATTTCCTAACATTGGATGCTTTTCTGCTTTTTTACCTTGAGTCATTTACTAAGGAGTGTTCATAAAAAGTAGCTTAAAGCACAGATGCTTGCAAATCATTTAGGCAAAGATGTTTCTCTCTTTTTCATTCTCTCTCTCAAAATCTCTCTTTTTCGAAGAAAAAGAATAAAACTGTTGGTCAGTATTGGTGAACCATGTCAAGCATTTGTACAAGGAGAAAAGGTAAAATTGAAAACATCTGATTAAAGTAAATAATACAAACATAAAAGCTTTACCGGTGAATGAACGGTACTGAAGAGACTTTATTTTATAGATTAGAAATTACTTTTGATCTAAACATTCTTAAAAACAGATTGTTTTCCGCTATGAACCATCTCATTAACTGCTACAGAGCCTCAATTTAATGGCGAGCTTTGAAAGGGCACTGCTGTACCCCTTTGTTAGTCTCCATCTTATTTGGGAGGGGGATAAAGATCTCATTCTAGCTTTCTTTGTTCGTTTTTCAAGAACCACTAAAGCAGTATTCACACAAATTTTGTAGGAATGTGCCCTATGTCATAGCCTACAAATTATTTGGTTTTGGTGCACTTAAAGGTCACCTTCCAAATTAGCAAAATTTTCCTACATCCTGGCTTTTCAACCTTAAATATAAATATTGTTTCCTAACTGTAAGTGAGGTTTATTCTTTAAGAAATTCTAGCGCTTATTTAAAGTTGTCAAACTTTGTACATTTATATACTTTAGCCATATTATGTTCTCATAATAATTAGGCTTTTGAAGTATACCTAATAGCAAAAGAAAGTACATGCAGACCAGAAACCATTACTGTGATTTTCTGTTAAACAACTTCATGAGAAATTAGTCAGATTTTAACAAATTTCTTGCCACTTAATTTAATAATAATATGCTTCTTAGACAATTAAAAGCTATACTGTTACATTAGCTCTTCTAGCATCATAACCAAAAATTGATATAAAGCTAGAAAAGCTTTGCTTTTATCTCTGATTTCCCATCTTCCTATCTGATCACTTTTCTAAAGTCCTAGGGTGTCATTTTTAATTTTGGAAAAAATCTTTTATTTTGATATTCTAGAGTAATTCATTGCATGGTTTCCCTTTACTACTTTCATTTCCAAACCCAAACCCACTGCCATCAAGTCAATTTCAACTCATAGCGGCCATACAGGACAGAAGAGAACTGTCCTATAGGGTTTCCAAGGCTACCTATCTTTACAGAAGCAGACTGCCTCATCTTTCACCTGTGGAGCAGCTGGTAGGTTCTAACTACCCACCTTTTGGTTTGCAGCCCAATGCTTTAACCACAATGCCACCAGAGCTCCTTGATCTTCACTCAGGTACTGTAATTTTCTTATTACACAGGGTAATTTAATATTAGTATTATATAACATTTGTTCAGTGACCTCTAAATTGACTTAGGAGAATGCTAGGGTAAGATTTTTCCTTTATTTAAATGTTTGATATTGTACTTTGAAGGTATATGTGAGTGTGTGTATATATACACACAACACACAGTATATTTAAGGGAGTAGTATTGCCACTTTGGTATCTAATCATAACAACCATTCCTTACAGAGTAATTTTCCTATAAATCAAAACTATTTTGAACCTATTTTAGAAGTATTTTTTGCTAAAATATGTCCACAGTCCTTTTTCACACTGAGGTTTGTTCCATGTTGTTGCCCCAAGACCAGTACTGTTTTAAAGCAGAAAAACTAGAAATAAATGTAAAGCAACAGTTCGCTTTCTGGCTCTGCCTATTTCCAAGCCATGTAACCTTAGTTAAGTCAACCTCTCTATGTTTGTACTGCTACCTGCACAGATACGCTGTAAAGATCACAGCAATTAGCACTTATCAAACACTGTCTGAATAAATGCAGTGTCACACTATCACTCTGATTACAGTGAATTCTGAAGTCAAACTGTATTTTAAAAGGTAGCAGGTCAGGTTTTTCAGTGTGCTACAATATTTTATTGGTAATCATTTTTCTAGAATATCTTGAGAGTAGTACTTCCTCACAAGTTATCTTTCAAAATGTTTTAAAATAGGAATTGAAGAAGAAAACTAAACTTTGAGTGCCTTATACGCCACACACATTTCAAGTTACTTTCACATAATCTTATTTAATCCTCCCTACAATTTTAGGTGGAGCTCTGGTAACATAATGCCTAAGGCACTTGACTGCTAACCAGAAGGCTGGTGGTTCCAACCCACCAGCCACTCCTTGGAAGGAAGGTTGGGCAATCTACTTCCATAGTAATATGGAAACCCAAGGAGGGGTTGCTATCAGTCAGGTCCAACTTGACGGCACATAACAACAACAACATAATTTTAGGAGACATATATTATACCTATTGTACAGATTCATAAACTGAGGCTCAGATAAGACAAAATATGATTCACCGAAGGATAGATAGCAAATAGCTATATCAACGTCAGACCCAGGGCTATTTGGCTGCCAAATCCACGGTCAGTAACAGTTTCGGTGAGGAGAAATTATGCTAAAACTTTATTCTTTCTTTCCGAATTATGTTATACCTTTCAGCTTAAGACTATCAGTAACAATTTAAGGTAATAAAGAAAAAAATTAGTAAGCACCACAGTACATCCAGAATAATAAACTCAGAATAGAAATACAAAGTTAGCCAGTGTCTGTTTTCCCTGTATTCATTCCTTTCAGCATAGGGTCTGTGACAAGGTTCAAACGGGAATCTAACAAAGTCTATAAAATGTTGAAAGGGTTTTTAACTTCCTGTTAAGAAGTAAATCAGATCTGTTACCTAAATCTTAGAGCACTTTTAAGTCATAAATCTCGTATTTCAGTGTGAAATATCAAAA